GCTCTCAAATATCTGACATTCATTCTATGTGGCTCTTACGTGAAGTACGTTTGGCCACACACCTGTCATAGGGTGACTGAGCCACTTTAGACAACATCACTATTGTGGCTCTTACGTGAAGCAGGTTTGGCCACCCCTGTCATAGGGTGACTGACCCACTTTAGAGAACATCACTATCTTCCTTTTGGGAGACTTCAGAGATAATATTGCTCTTCAACATGACCTGATTGGTTTCATTATTTTCAACTGAGATGAAATTTTCTAGTTATGGATGGTAGGGTTGCCAGTTCTGGGACGGGAAATTCCTGGAGATTTGGGGGGGGGCGGTGTAACCTGGGGAGGGGAGTGACCTAAGCAGGGTACGACGCCACAGAGTCCACCCTTCAAAGCAGCCATTTTCTCCAGGGGAACTGGCCTCAGTTCCCTGGGGATCAACTGTAATACCAGGAGATTGCCAGGTAGTACCTGGAGGTTGGCAACCTGAGTAAGGAAGTAGTGGGAGGGCATCCCAGGAGCCTCAAAGGTAGAGCTGCCACATTTTGATTAAGCCTTTGTTGTTATCGCCCTCTCGATCTGTAACCATTAGCCCCAATAGCAGGCACCCCGAGCCGGGTCAGTTTGAGGAAGACAGTTTTTTGATCCCATTATTTCGGTTACTTTCCCCTGGCTTTCTGCACGAAGACAAGCAAGGCGGTTAACAATCATAAAAAAAGTATTAAAGTGTAACCCCTCCCCCCTCATGAAACCGCAATGCAAAAAATACAATAATTTTGTGGAAATTCAAGAAATCAGTAAAACATACCATAAAAAAACCAAACGCAGTCTGATTCTTATAGCAAAACCCTAGTCCCATTGTTCGTAGTAAACTCCAGAAGTATGCTTGAGGATTACTGTCTTGATTCCTCCAGCTCTAAATATGGGAGAATTAGATCTATTTTCCTTTCAATACAGCCTTTTGCGAAACACAGTCATTTTAGCCTGCCTCTGTCCCTGCCAGGGGGTCTTGACCGAGAAATCTGCATAAACTACGGTTTGGTGTAGTGGTTAAGTGCGAGGACTGTAATCTGGGAGAACCGGGTTTGATTCAGGTTCACTATAGAGACAATTGCAGGTTCTGTCCCTATAGGGGATACCCCTATATCCAGCAGTTTCTGTCAAGAACTCTCTCAGCCCCATCTACCTCACGGGGTGTCTGTGGTGGGGAGAGGAAGGAAAAGGAGTTTGTAAGCCACTCTGAGACTCCTTTGGGTAGTGAAGGGCAGGGTATAAATCCAATCTCTTCTCTTCTTCTCTTCTAATGTTAGAAAAGAGCAAGAGTCCAGTTGCACCTTTAACACTAGCAAAGTTTGTGGCAGGGTAGAAGCAGGGAGCCATGACTCACGAAAGCTCCTCTCTTGCCAGAAATTTGGTTAGTTTTTCAGGTGCTCCTGGACTCTTGCTCTTTTCTACCGCTACAGACTAACACGGCTACCCATCTTGATCTATCTACACTTAATGTTATCACCCTATAGAGATGTAGTTTAGAGGTAAAATTCTGTACTATGGGCCACTCATACCTGGGCGCGCAGTCGAATGGCAACCGTCTTGGCCTTTTGTGAAGGAAAGCCGGACAAGAGAATACATTTTTTGGTGACTATTGTGCAGAAGAAGCAGCAGCTGACGGAGAAAAAGGAACTGCCACTGGGGGGCCTTCACCAGCTTTCACTGAAAAGCAAACGGGCCTCATGCACAAGGCTGCTTTCGCAGATCTATGGAAGCTGGATTGCTTCCCTGCAGTAGCAGCCTTCGGTCGGGTGCCGGCAGTGTGTTGCGTTGAACAGCAATCGTGTAATGAGAAGCTCTATAATAAGACAGCAAACCCGATAAGGAAATGTGATGTGCTCCCCATTGTCCATGGCTGTAAGAAAACAGGCACAAAGCAAGAAATCCTGAATAAAAACGGCAAAAACAAAAATCCAGGTGTTTAGCTGTGTTGGCCTGAAGCAGCAGAACAAAGTTTGAGTCCAGAGTTTGAGTTCAAACGAAAGCTTGATACCAGGAATAAAACTTTGTTGGCCTTAAAGGTGCCACTGGACTCAGACTTTGTTCTGCAAAAAGAAAAGCACCGCTGCTTTAACAGAATGATTAGGGTTGCCATCCTACAGGCGTTTAGCCTGGAGTAAGTCCCACTGAGACCAATGAGACTTAAGACTGGAGGAAGCCTACTTAAGATTGGACTGTAAGTTGGGGGGCAACTTTATAATGGACACAATCTCACTGGCACCATCGGCAATGCTCCCTCTAAGCTGTGGAGTCCTGTGAGCAAAAATTCTGCTTTGTGAGCGACTGCCAGTGTTCCCTCTAAGCTGAGTCAGTGTGAGCTAGCTCAGTTTTTTAGCCTCCGGCTCACACATTTTTGTCTTAGCTCAGGAAGGAGGGCTCCAGAGCAAACTCATTTACACAGCAGCCAAATCGCTCGCTCACCACTGTAATGCCAGTAGCTCACAAAGTAGAATTTTTGCTCACAAGACTCCACAGCTTAGAGGGAACATTGGCGATTGCCATTAAAGCTGTGAGCGAGCGATTTGGCTACTGCATCAATGAGTTTGCTCTGGAGCCATCCTTCCTGAGCTAAGACCAAAACGTGCGAGCCAGAGGCTAAAAAAACTGTGAGGTAGATCACACTAACTCAGCTCACACTAACTCTGCTTAGAGGGAACACTGACCATCGGGTCAAACGCAAATCTGTTTTCATAGCAGGAGGCAAAGTGTTTACGTTTCAACCAGTTAAGATCCATTTTCTTTTCCTTCTTCATCCAGCATTTGGGTCTCGATTCATAACATTAAATGCACAGCAGCTGTTGCAATCTCATAAAACAAGCCACTCTGCTCAGCGTGCTCTCTGGGTCCCAAATGCCAAAACGAACAAGGGGTTTCACCCGCTTTTTTTGAAAACGAAGGTGCTTGCTTTCTACAGGGAAGGTGCCAAAGCCGAAAAGGCCCTGTTTCACAGAGACCGAGCTAGTCCCCAAAGAGAGTGACATCCAAGGGCAAAGATTCCAAAGAGCACAGTGACGGTTAACGTATCCGCAGCTTCCAGTTCTAGCACTGCCATCCAGTGTTCCCTCTAAGCTGAGTTAGTGTGAGCTAGCTCACAGTTTTTTAGCCTCCGGTTCACACATTTTTGTCTCAGCTCAGGAAGGAGGGCTCCAGAACACACCAATTTATGCAGTAGCCAAATCACCTGCTCACAACTTTAATGCCGGTAGCTCACAAACTAGAATTTTTGCTCACAGGACTCTACAACTTAGAGGGAACATTGCTGCCTTCCCAAGGATCTTTCCAAGTCCACCAAAGTCAACAGGCTTAGAAAGGGTGCAACTCTGGCTGGGACAGCTCTTCTAGACCCAAAGTTCAGCAATCCTTGTACACTTTTAATAGCACCAGCTTAGGAAAAACTCAAACACTTGTCAAAAAGGGGAGGAAAAACATATTAACTTTACCTTGCATTTTCCGCTGACCGGGGCCAATGTGATCCTTTTATTCATCAGCTCACGGATCCCACACAGTCAGCCCTAACCCTAAGCAAGGCATTTTAGAACACAAGCGTGAAACCAGACAGCCAAGAGCTGGCTTGTTGTTACTGAGAAAATCGAGATGGGGAAGGCCTCTGGAGTTTTTGAGTGTAGGCCTCAAGCGGCCAATGACTGACTGTCAACCTTTCTTTTCCCCTCACATTCTTTGAAATCGCATTCCAGGAAGGCAACCAGAAGCCATCTACACTGTCTCGAATGACTCGTCGTCCTGACTCTTGTTTGAATCATCAAGTGTTTTTCTCACACCATTTAACCATGTGGGTTTCTGGATTCCCGCCCTCCTCGCACACAGTTTATTTAAAATATTTATATCCCCTCTTATCTCCTTAAGATAACAACAAGTTGGAAGGACACAAACAGCAGTATAATAGTCAGCCCACAAGTTAACATGCACAGGGTGAAAATGCAGGAAAATCTGTTTGGTGTGGTGGTGAGGAGCGAGGACTCTAATCTGGGAGAACCGGGTTTGATTCCCCACTCTTCCACATGCAGCTGCTGGTGTGACCTTGGGCAAGCCATAGTTCTGACAAGAGCTGTCCTTGAAAGGGCGGTTTCTGCCAGAGCCCTCTCAGCCCCACCTACCTCACAGGGTGCCTGTTGCGGGGAAGTGGAAGGGAAAAGAGTTTGTAAACCGCTCTGAGACTCCAAGTGAAGGGCGGGGTATAAATCCAATCTCTTCTTCCTCCTCCTCAGTCGCAAGATCTCTCAGAGCTGTTCTCTCAAGAGCAGTCCATGAAAGAGCTCTCTCAGCCCCACCTACCTCACAGGGTGTCTGTTATGGGGAAGGGAAGGGAGATTGTAAGCCACTCTGAGTGAAGGGCAGGGTATAAATCCAATCTCTTCTTCTTCTTCTTCTTCTTCTTCTACCAAATCAAGTGCCCTCTGGAATAAAAACCATGTTACACACCTGCCTAAACGCATGAGTGAAGGTGTCCCTCTGTACCCACTCTGGTGTGCCTTGCCGAAGGATTCGGCCTACCTCAGAAAAAGTCTGCGAGGGGGTATCACAAGGAGAAAGCCGTCTGAAGAGCAAGGCTGGATTGTGGGAGTATACTGTGGTCCAATACTGCTAATTCCTCCCATACCAGTGAAGAATTAGAACTTACATTTTGAGAAGCAACCCCCACCCCAACGTCCACACTGTACACAGCTGTTTTGAACCTGGGTGCTTTCCAAGTTCAGAAAACAGGCTCATTCAAGATCCAATCAGTGGGCTTTAGACTGCCCTAACATTATACACTGCAGATAACCAATAGCCCCCACTACTTCTATGTTAAAAAAAGCAACGTAACAACATTGGGCATTGGTTTTTTTTAAATTTATCAAAAGATAAATGCAGATTTTATTGAATATACCCCATTGGAAGAGGCAAGCAAAAGCAAATCTTCCTCAGGACAATTAACAGACAAGGAAACTTTGCTCAGTAGTACTGGCAGGAGTGAGGACGAGTAACTTTTTATTATAGCACAATATCCATCATAACTCTGCTTTAATCTTTTAAATACATACATCTGCAATATTCTTTCAGACCCGCTCCTGAAAAAATAATTTAAAGTGAACTACTTTGGAGGTCTAAAGCCGGGATAACAGAGGCTGGCAAAAATTACCCGTTAATACTTTTGCTTTACATTAGAACACTGTTAAAATATACAACTACGTGAGCTGTATATTCACTTCAGCGGGGACCCAAAGGAGGAATACTCAAGCAGGAGATATGGATTAGCATAGCCTGAGCTTTTCTTTTTGACAGGGCTGCGGAATTTCCCAAAACCAAACAGTGACGGCCGAATGAGCATGAAGTTTTCTTGGCCTGGCCATTTCCCTTCTTTAGACCAGTCCATTCTAAGTGAAGCTAAACGAAGAACTGGAAGCTTTGACCAAAAAGTGCAGTTGTGCAAAAATCCTGGATACGTGGGCAACCTGAAGAAGACAGAGACCTGGAAAACGATTTGGCATCTCTGCAGGCAGAAACTGGCGTGGTCCTCACCCGTCCCACCGGAAGGCTGTGAAAGGGTCAACCGCCAAGGAAGAAGAACAGCTGCGATACCTGCACAACGTCGCCAGTCTTCGTTGTGTGTCTGACAACGGCCATGCTGTCAAAGGAAGGATTCTGGAGACCTGCTCCTCGGAGAATTGAGGCACCCCAGGATGGACTGACTACGGACAACCGAGAAGTCCCTTTTTTGTGCAGTTGCAGGAGAAAATGAGAGCGAGTCGCCCTGCCTAGTGAATGCAATTTTTTTTTTAGTGGACGGATTTGTATTTCCGTCGATGGGATGAATCATTGGTTGGCCCTACTGAGGAGCTGTCACTGACAAGGAGGCCACCGACGAAAAGGTATCGTTCCACTGCCTTCCCGGTGGGTTCAGCTGGGCAGCTGCGTGTGCTTTGTACTTCTGCAGGAGCTCCTTGGCCTCCTGGTCATCTCGCACGGAGGTCTCGCCGTATTCTGCTCTGAGCCACTCTCTGAACTGGAAGGAAGGAAAACAAAGGGATGGACGTAAGAGGCAGAAACAGAAGACAGCTGTCAGAGAAATATGAATGAATGAATGAATGAATCTCTGCTGGTCAGTTCCATCGTCCATCTAGTCCAGCTTCCTATTTCCCATGGCAGCCAACCAGATGCTCCAAGAAGGCCTACAAGAGGGAACGTGGAGGGTAAAGTCAGTTTGGCGTAGTGGTTAAATGTCCAGACTCTAATCTGGGAGAACCAGGTTTGATTCTCCACTCCTCCACTTGCACCTGGCTGGATGACCTTAGGCAAGCTGTAGTTCTGATAAGAGCTGTCCTTGAAAAAGAGCAGTCTCCTCAAATGATAAATTGATTCAGAAATTATATAATCTACATCTAAGGGAATATATGAAAGAGGAAAACGTTAAAAATGTAATGATCACCTGGGTAAAAGATATAGGGGAAATTGAGGAAAAACAATGGGCAAGTATGTGGAAATCTGTCAAATATATGAAAGCGGTTGCTTACAAAGAAAATGTATTTAAGATGTTCCACAGATGGCATTGGGCACCCGTTAAGTTAGCCAAATGCTATAGGGGGTATTCCGACAAATGCTGGAAATGTAAAAGCAGTAAAGGAACGTATTATCATATGTGGTGGGAGTGTATTACGGTACAAAGATTCTGGAGAATGGTTAGGAAAGTCCTCCAAGAAAGTCTAGGTATTAATGTAGCATTAAAACCAGAAATATACCTGCTAAACATGATACCAAAAGGTTACAATAAGCAGGATACGTATATAATCAGCTATATTATAACAGCAGCCAGACTGTTAGTAGCACAAAACTGGAAATCTGAAAGCTTACCTACTAGAGAAGATTTGATATACAAAATCTTAGAGCTAGCCAGAATGGATGATTTAAGTCTAAGGATGCAAAATAAAAATGAGAAGGTACACAAAAGGAGATGGGATAAGGTATATAAGTGGATAGAACTGCAAACAGAAATGTAATGAGAAAAAGACAGATTCTGAAACTGCAACACTGTTTGTTATATCACTAACAGATTAGCTAAGTATTTGCAATTGAATGACTCTGATTGGAATTGTAACTTGATGGAATGTAATATGTGCAATCTTTTACTTAAAACAATAAAAATATATTGAAAAAAAGAAAGAAAAAAAAAAGAAAAAGAGCAGTTTCTGTCAGCGCTCTCTCAGCCCCACCAACCTCACAGTGTGTGTGTTGTGGGGAGGGGAAGGGAAAGGAGTTTGTCAGCCGCTCTGAGACTCCTTTGGGTAGTGAAGGGCGGGGTATGAATCCAATCTCTTCTTCTTCTTCCACTCCTGTTGCCACACAGCACTAGCAACGTTCCCTTCCAAGCTGTGGAGTCTTGTGAGCAAAAATTCTACTTTGTGAGCTGCTGGCATTTAATTTGTGAGCAAGCTATTTGGCTACTGCATAAATTAGTTTGCTCTGGAGCCATCTTTTCTGAGCTAAGACAAAAAATGTGTGAGCTGAAGGCTAAAAGACTGTGAGCTAGCTCACACTAACTCAACTTAGAGGGAACACTGAATACTAGATTCAGGGAGCCTACTGCCTCTGAACACGAAGATTTCATTTATTCGTTGCCTCTGAACATGAAGGTTTCGTTTATTTGTTGTCTTTGATAGTCAACGACAGTCAACTCTATGAACTAGTCTAAATCCCTTTTCAAGCCAACTAATCTAGTGGACACCACCACATCCCTCGGTAGAGAATTCCAGAAGCCACTTTAAATGGTTTTGCAAGGGAGGGCACTGGTGGGCTGGATGTTTCTTTCTCTCCAGTTTGCTGCTCTCTCTGCATTCCAGTGGCTTTTTCGCACTGGACCAGCAAATCTTACACCACCAGCAAATGGGAAAGTGGCAGGCAAGATGGTTTCAAAGGAAGAATCATGGACAGGACAGGGGCCATGGGAACCCTTCTGGAGACACACACACACACACACACACAGAGCTTCTCTGCACATCAGCAGCAAATGCCGAGTTGAGAATTCCTGGTCTTTGTACCAATGTTGTCCAGACCCACTTCCCGTATGTTCCCTCAAGAGCACTGCAATCGGGGAGTCTCCATCTCCTGGAAGTTCCGGGACCCCGAGACATTAAGTTTGCCCAAACTAAGGCCAGAGCGTTTTCGGTGGCGGCTCCTACCTGGTGGAACGAGCTCTCGGCGGAGATCCGGGTCCTTATACACATACAGTCCCGCAGGGCGTGCAAGCCGGAGCTCTTCCACCAGCCTTTTGAGTAGGAGCCGCCGCCGCCGCCACTATTCCACCACCGTGATACGATCCTACCATCTACTCCTATAATTGGGAGGGGGGTATATGCCGCCCGGCGGAGATGGGGAAAATATCATTCCTGGGGCTCACACCCACACACACACACAGAGCCAATGTGGGATATTGCACATCTTGGGGATATTTACAGAATATTAGAGCACCAACTTTTATTATGTATGTAATAATGTTTTGTTGTATTTTAATTTTTAATTTGGCATAGCCGCCTGTTAGCCGCCCTGAGCCGTTTGGGTAGGGCGGGATATAAATCCCAAAAATAAACAAACAAACAAACAAATAAATAAGCAAGCAACTACCCCATTAACACTGTTGCCACTATGGCCCTTTCCGCACTTGGATCTCATCCCTGGTTTGATCAGAGTTCAACTTGTGACACAATACCTTGCATTTATCACTGGTTATAACAGCATCCGTTTATCCGGAGACAAGTGTGGGGCAAAACTGGGGTGACCTCAATGTAATGTCGAAACAAAAAATACCCTGAGATAGTTACAGGGGTGAACTAGAGTGTAGCGCAGAATGTAAAAATACCCCGAGATAATTACAGGGGTGGACTCGAGTGTAGTGTAGAATGTAAGTTCAGGGACAGGGTTGAACGAGGATTTAAGGTCTAGTGCGGAATCACCATATGAGGGCTTTTTAATTTTTTATTTAAAACGACAGCTAATTGTACACGGCTAACCCAATTTGAGCTGCGGTGGCTCAAGTGGTTAAGACGCTGAACTGCAGGCTGTGGAAGGTCAGTAGTTCAGCAGTTCGAGACCCGGGTGTGCCGCATGATGGAGTGAGCTCCCGTCTCTGGTCCCAGCTCCTGCCAACCTAGCAGTTCGAAAGCAAGAAATTGCAAGTAGATAAATAGGGACCGCTTCGGTGGGAAGGTCACAGCGTTCCGTGCGCCTTGGTGTTTAGTCATGCCGGCCACATGACCACGGAAACGTCTTCGGACAGCGCTGGCTCTTCGGCTTTGAAATGGAGATGAGCACCGCAACCCTAGAGTCGGATTCGACTAGCTTTCGAGCAAGGGAAACCTTTACCTTTACCCCAATCTCATCAGATCTCAGAAGCTAAGGCAGAGTCAGCCCTGGTCAGTATTTGGACGGGAGACCACCGAGGAAGACTGGGGCCTCTACGCAGAGCCAGGCAATGGGAAAACACCCCTGAACGTCTCTTGCCTTGAAACCCCCCTGAGGGGTCCCCATAAATCAGGTGTGACTTGATGGCAATTTCCTCCACCACCCCCACCACTGTAAAATGCTAGATTTGGTTTAAAAGCTGAAAACCAACGCCTGGCCTCAGTTCTGGGGAAACAGGGTATATACATTTTTATAATACATACATTAGATGTGGTCGTGTAATTCGGCCACTGACGTTACAGCCGAAATAAAGCAAACGGTGAGTTTGCATTAAGTTTGCATCGCGTTAAGTTCTTTCCGCACTCGAGTTAAATGATTTTAATCTCGGAAATCTGAATGTGGATAACCCAGGAAAAATCCCTTGCCTCTTTGTAACAGAATCCCACCACATATATTAAAATGTTTGACGTAACTTTTGGAACTTTTGTTTGGGATTGGGGCGACCTGACGTGCATCAGCCCTTAACATATCACTTGTTCGGGCCCTTTTCTGAAGGTTTTACACTGTTCCCCCCCCCAAACCCTGCTCTCCCCAGGCTCCACCCCTAAAATTTCCAGGTACTTCCTCGCTCGGAGCCGACAACCCTCGCTCTAAGAGGGGCTGCCTGTCCTTGGCCGAAGCCGTTCCCTTCGCCCTTCTGAAAGCTGTATGAAGGCTCAAAGCTGCAGACAAAAGCAGCTGCCATTTTCACTCCCCAAACTGTGCACCTGGACAAGAGGCAGCGCCGTTCCACACCTGATCACGGACATGTTAGGCTGCTATGTGTTTGATAAACATCATAAGTAAATTATAGCCTAATGTGAGCAATACTTATCAATCTGGACGTTTGTACTTCCGCTTTTTCTCTGCAGTGGGGACGTGGCTTACAACACCGTCCTCTGCTCCTCCATTTTATCCTCATGCCAATGACCCCTGCGAGGCTGAGACAGGGACTAGCCCGAGGTCAGCCAGCGCATTTCCAAGGCAGACGCGGGATTTGAACCTGGGTCTCTCATATCCTACTCTGGCACTGAGCAGGACACAAAACTGCATTTATTTTACGTTCTGAAGGCTACACACGACAGCTCGAGCGACAGAGAGAATGCTTATCCAAGGAAATGTTTCTCCAGGAAAAAGCCCTGACCCAGACGGCCCAAGGGTAGCCTGGATCTCACCAGATCTCGGAAGCTAAGCAGGCTCAGCCCGGGTCAGTATTTGGATGGGAGACCACCAAGGAACACCAGAGTTGGGAGACCACCCACCAAGGAATACACAGAGGCAAGCAATGGCAAACCATCTCTGAGCATCTCTTGGCTTGAAAACGCGACAGGGTCACCAATACCTTGGGGTGGACCTGTCCCCCCCCCCCCCCCCCCCCCAAGAAAACACTAATAAAGCCACAACACTGCAAGGAAGGGAATGCTTCATCTCATTGTCAGCGATGCTACAAACTTTATCCAGAAGATGCCCCGGACAGCGATAACATCATTTTTGCAAGCGCCTGTGTGTGAGTATGGGGGTGGTGGGAAGTATCACATTTAAATCAGTAAGACCCAAGTGCTGTTTGTTGGGAGAGTCCGGCTCCCTGCCGTGAAGGCACAATCTGAAGGGAAAAGACAGGCCTCTAGATTTTAAGAGCTGTGGAAGTGCTCTCATTTCTTAGAATATCGTTTTTCGCAAGCTGGCGTGTTCCTGTCGATGAAGGCGGCGGGTTCTCCTCCTACATGGAGTTTTAAAAAGACACACACACACTGTGACCTCAGTAAAGCTTTTTGCATAATAGAACAATTCAATCTTTTCAGCTTAGACCTGAAATGACTGTAACGTTCAAAATAAGGAGGTAGGAGACGAGGCTGGAAAGTCCCTCGGTGTTCTATCGTGTAAAGGCTGTTATATTCCCGTTTACCCGAGTTCTGTATAAAGCCAGGAAATATTAAGCTTTTGTGACAAATAATTTTATGTGAATAACGTTATTGCCTCAAATGCATCACGAACGTGGCTCAAATGCGACAAAGCCATCGTTCGGCATCGCGTGAGTGAGCAAAGCGGGCCTCGGAGTTCCCGGCTTCACTTGTGCACCGCAATCTAATCAAAGATTCCCACTTGTGCAGCACACTTCTGCATCTGAGCAACAAGCTACAGTTCCTTGTTTGTAAGGAGTAGGGCAAACCAGTCTGTGGTTCGGGCACAATGACGAATTATGGTTTGCCATGGAAAAAAAGCAGCAATTAGATCATCGCAGGCTAGGCAAAAGCCACAGGATCTCCCATGTTTGTGCATGGTACAACAAACCATGATTTGTTGTTCTAGCCCAGGGGTCCCCAATGGTGCCTGTCAACACCTTTCCTGGTGCTCACCAAGTGTTTTCAGAAAGTGAGTTGGGGCCACATGGGGCTTTTGGTGTAGTGGTTAGGAGTGCGGACTCTAATCTGGGAGAACTGGGCTTGATTCCCCACTCCTCCACTCGCAGCTGCTAGTGTGACCTTGGGTCACTCACAAGTTCTCTCAGAGCTGTTCTCTCAGGAGCAGTTCTCGAAAGAGCTGTCTCAGCCTCACCTACCTCACAGGGTGTCTGTTGTGGGGAGGGGGAGGGAAACGAGACTGTAAGCTGCTCTGAGACTCCTTCAGGTAGTGAAGGGTGGGGTATAAATCCAACCTCCTCCTCTTCCTCCTCTTCTTCTGCCAAGCAAGGCTTCTGATTGGCTGGGCGGATATTTTAAAAATGTTGTTTTGACAGCAGTTACTAAATGTGTTCTGCTGCTTCAGACCAACACGGCTGACCACCTGGAACCAGTGTTCCCTCTAAGCTGAGTCAGTGTGAGTTAGCTCACAGTTTTTTAGCCTCTGGCTCACACGTCTTTGTCTTAGCTCAGGAAGGAGGGCTCCAGAGCAAACTAATTTATGCAGCAGCCAAATCGCTCACTCACCACTTTCATGCCAGTAGCTCACAGAGTAGAATTTCTGCTCACAAGACTCCACAGCTTAGAGGGAGCATTGCCTGGAACTATAAACACTTCTGTTCTAGAAGGCCTTTGGGCTGACTGAATGTTGAGGGCACCCCGCTGTTCTCTCACTGCATCTTCGTGGTGCCCTCTAAGTATTTTAACTCACTTTTTAAAGTGCTGAGAGTTCCCTTGGACAGCCAAACCACAGGTTTCCCCGGTGCATAATCCTCCGCATTTTGATGCAAAACAAAAAGTGAGGGTTCACACTACAGCTTACAGGTTGGGCTTGGAACCCCAAGGGTCCCCCCCCACTTACACGAGCAACGTCATTTTTCTCGAACTCCTCCAGCTGCCGCTGGAATCCAGTGTTAGGATTGGCACACGATCTCGATGCGCGCACAACAGACAGTGCATCCTCCCAGCCGAAGTCGGTGATGGTCATGATGTAGGCGACGACCAACGTGGCGCTTCTGGAAACACCAGCAAGGCTACAACATCACCCAAGAGTAAACAGGTAGAAACATGAAATCAAAATAAGCCATGGGGCATAACACCAGGATCGGCAGCTTCCAAGGTAAGACGCATTTCCTAAAATGTTTGTAAGGTCAGGACTAAAACAAGGCGTTCTTCTAGAAACAGGACAGTCTGTTTGCAAGCAAAGCAGTTGTTGAGGTTTAGTTCAAATGCAACTTTTTGCATGGGTTGTTTTCTACAGACGCACACTGTAAATATATATATCTCAGTTTTACAACTGACATGACTAACCAGTGCACGGGGACAGGTAGACAAAGAGCATGGTGGGAATTGTAGTTTCATGAAGCTTGCGCTTCTTAGAAAGCTACCGTTTCCAGGATTCTATGGGAAGAGGGGATGCCGGATAAAACCAATTCAAGTACAATAAAGACCACCAGGATGAAAAAGGGCATCTGTATAATGTGATATTAAGGAGTGCAACCATGCCAAGAAATTTCAAATCTTGTATGTTTTGGCCGAGTCAATCTGCTAAAACAACAGAAACCAGTTTTGCTCAGGGAGTTAGGTCCAGGGCACATCATGTTCTTACTACCCCTTTCTTCCTACCATCTGTTAAACAGACACGGTGGCACCCTCATCTTTGTTAAGAGTTGCCATATAAGAACGTAAGAGAAGGCATGCTGGATCAGGCCAATGGTTCATCCGGCCCAACACTCTGTGTCACACACTGGCCAAAACCCAGGTGCTACCAGGAGGTTCACCAGCGGGGCCAGAACTCCAGAAGCCCTCCCAATGTTGCCCCCCCCCCAAGCACCAGGAATACAGAGCGTCACTGCCCCGGACATTAGTGTTCCATCTATTTTTGTTGTTGTTGTTGTTCAGTCGCACAGTCGAGTCCAACTCTTTGCGACCCCATGGACCAGATCACGCCAGGCCTTCCGGTCTTCCGCCGTCCTCTGAAGTTTGCTCAACTACATGTTCGTTGCATCTATGACCCTGTCTAACCATCTCATCCTTTGCCGTCCCCGTCTTCTTTGACCTTCAATCTTTCCCAGCATCAGGGTCTTCTCCAGTGAGTGCTCCCTTCTCAGTGGCTAATAGCCATTGATGGATGTCTGCTCCACATGTTAATCCAATCCCCTCTTGAAGCTGTCTATGCTTGTAGCCGCCACCACCTCCTGTGGCAGTGAATTCCACATGTTAATGACTCTTTGGGTGAAGAAGTACTTCCTTTTATCTGTTCTAAGCCTACTGCTCATTAATTCCATTGAGTGCCCACAAGTTCTTGTCTTGAGAGAAAGGGAGAAAAATACTACTTTCTCTGCATTCTGTATCCCATATGCTGGGACTTTAACCCAAAACAACATCATCCCAACGGCACAGGGGTGGAGCGGCCATTTAATTGACACGGAAATCTACTCCTGTAGCCAGGATATTCTTCAGGAGGGAGCTTTGGACTTGGGGGGGCGTCATGGCCCCCCCCCACGAGGCGATGTCACATGCGACGTCACCACGAGTGACTCTCTTCCTCTCTCTCTGTACGGAGAGGGAGGAGGAGAGCCGAAGAGCAGCCAGGCTTGGCTTGAGCTGCTCAAGGTTCCCCCCCTCCCCATGTCTTTGCCAGCCAGCGAGACTGGCTGTTGGCTCTCCGAGAGCCTCGAAGAACTGATGGCCCATCTCGCTGGCTGGCGAAGACGGGATGAGAAAAGCTTTAGCCACGGTGGGGTTCCACCGTAATCGGGGGGGGGCTCAGCACCTAAAGCCCCACCACTGGCTACAGCCCTGAAGAAGTTACAGTTGCCAACTTCTTTCTCTGCCTTCTGTATCCCATATGCTGGGACTTTAACTCAAAACAACATAATCCCAACTGCACAGGGGTGGAGCGGCCATTTAACTGACACGGAAATCTCCTACTGAACCACTGACCTAGAGGGCCACTAGTGTTCAGGTATACGCCTAGCCAAACCCCCAGACACTCTGCCAGCACCCAAGGGACCCCTTGGTGTAGATCAATGCCAACAGTCATCCGTGCCGGTTCTCCCACTGTCTCCTGTACTGCTGTCAGTTTGAAAGAGAAATTAATAGATGAGTGAACACCTATTGCTGCCACTGCTAAACGGAGTAACTCCTGCAGCATTGGCTTGTAATGCTGTTCCAATACATAACAGATGCCGAAAGGCCACTCAGTGTGGCTTGGTCCAGGGCCTGCTACTGTGAGACTTGTGATCGCTCAAAAATGGAATGACGAAGCAGCTCCCTCCTTGAACAACTGGAGAAATGTTTAATACTCAGACTATCAATGGATCTTGCTCTATTGGAAAGAAGAGATTTCTTTGCTTTTAAAAACCTCTATTTCTAAGGGTAAAAGGTATACGGGATAACTACAAATAAATGTAACATTAACAGCTACATTTTCTAAGCTGTCGATAGTCAACACTAGCACACAGATAATGGAGAATCTGCCTTCTTCTCGACCCCTAGAAAGGAAGTCACCTGGAACAAACAACCAATCACTTATCACAACAGAAGTTACTTTTCCCGGGCTAATTCCCCATTGGCTTACTGCCAGGTATCCCTTCCAGGTCAGTCTAAACAATAGCAATACTAGGCAAACAAGTTAACCCTATAATGACTGAATTGTCAGACCTTGTGAACACATGCATTTCCAACAGTTTTCACTTCTCGGCCCACTCCTGCAACTGCATTTTAAACCTCTCCCTGGGAAAAAGGATCATCAATTCGGTACTAGAAGCTACAGTAAACTAAATGTGTTTGGATGGGAGTATTTGGATAGGAGACTGCCACATCTAACCACCGATAAAGAGAGACATGTGTTTATCATTCGCCTTAATTTATGTAATACACTGTGCCCAACATCCTCATGTTTTTCACATCTAACTGTTGTGGAACATGCTGTTGTGCCCAATCCAGGAATCAGCAGGCAGAGCAGTGAAGCAGTTCCTAGGATGGCCATGGGGCTAGTCCTTGAGACACCTTTTGCCATTCCCCAGTGAAAAGTATGCAGACGGAGAGTGATTTCAGCAAAGCGTACTTTATTCGAACAGGAACAAGACGACTTTGGCCGGCTCGCAGGCCGGCTTATATCCCCCGAGAAACCGCCACCAAAACTCTCCCCCTACTTCCCTATAGGTTATTTACAGTGGCCGAGAGTCCCATAGGCTCTCGGCCGGAAACCCAGCCCCCTGATTGGAGCGGGCTAGGATCCGCATAGTCCATTGTCTCTGGGAGCAAAGCTCTGCGTTTGTCTCTGGACTTGTCTGGACTGGATACATTACACCCAGCTTCGAAACCGACGTCGGGAGGGGAAAATGAGCAGCCCTGTAGCCAGGATATTCTCCAGGAGGGAGCTTTGGACTTGGGGGGGGCGTCGTGGCCCCCCCACGTGGCGATGTCACATGCAACGTCACCACGAGTGACTCTCTTCCTCTCTCTCTGTTCGGAGAGGGAGGAGGAGAGCCGAAGAGCAGCCAGGCTTGACTTGAGCTGCTCAAGGTCCCCCCCCCCATGTCTTTGCCAGCCAGTGAGACTGGCTGTTGGCTCTCCGAGAGCCTCGAAGAACTGATGGCCCATCTTGCTGGCTGGCGAAGACGGGATGGGAAAAGCTTTAGCCACGGTGGGGCTCTGCCGTAATCATGGGGGGGGGGAGGCTCAGCCCCTAAAGCCCCACCACTGGCTACAGCCCTGAAGAAGTCACAGTTGCCACGCTACTTGCTATTCCGAGACTTGTGATCGTTCAAAAATGGAAAGACGAAGCAGGTCCCTCCTTGAGCAACTGGAAAAACAAAATATGGGAACATTTTCTCCTGGAGAAGATTGCCTCGCAGAACGCTGTTATCCCCATGGGTGGCCGTCTACGCCCATTTCGAGCCACTTGGTTCCCAACGGTCGCTTACTTGTCTAATGGGGATTTTCTCCCCAATAACCGCTATTATCAAGACCTTTCGTATTTTTGAAACTCCTTTCGGTTCCCTACATTGCTGTTCAATATGTCTTGACTCTTGGTCAGTCTGATATTGACTCTGAATACCTTCACTACTTTATGCAACGGTTTTATTTCTGTTTTGTATAGAAAATAAATTAAAAAAGCATTTAAAAATGAAAAAAAAAATTGAAGAAGTTACAGCAGGGACTGGCTGGGTTGATAGGAGAAAAGGCTGTCGAGAGGAGGAAAAACTGTGCAGCAACCTAATTGGACATAATCTTTTCCCCGCCCTCCCTGCATTTCAAGCCACAGCCAGATATGGAGGGAGGCTTCCCGTCAGCGGTGGGGAGCTACCTTCCATCATATCCCCTGTGGCCCCACGTGAACCTACAAAGCTGCCTTATACTGAATCGCACCCTTGGTCCATCATCAGAGTCTGCACTGCCTACTCAGACAGGCAGTGGTTCTCCAGGCTCCCAGGCAGAGGTTCTTCGTAACACCTGCTACCAAAATCCTTTAACAGGAGATGCAGGGGATTGAACTTGTGGCCTTCTGCACGCCAAGCAGATGCTCTACCACTGAGCCATGCCCTCTGCCCATGGCCCAGCTCCGTCCCCCTGCTGCCAAGCGGGAGCTGCCACCACAGCTTTTTTTAATTTACTTACAATCTTCTGAACCCTCCTTTTCGACTAAGGCCAAATGGGAGGCCGAACGGGAGCCACTACTGAAATCGCAAGTCCCGCTATTCTAAAAGACAGCCAACCTTTCCCACCCGTGAGTTTTCGCAGGCCTACAGTGATCAAACAGCACAACTGGAGAAATCGATTTAGAAGGGTCTGAAATACGTA